TTAGCACTCAAATCAATGAAACTACTCTTCTCCTCCAAAAGGGAATTCTGCAACCTATCTATCAGCCTGTTCACAGCATTCCACAACATATCACCCACATCTTCTTGTAGCTCAGTATTTTCACTCTCATCAGTAACTTCTTCTCCAAGAATCTCCTCAAGAAAGTCCAGAATCTTCTTCTGCATATCCTTAAGTTCCTTCTTGTTCATTTCAATCTTTCTTCTCAAAGTCCAAACTTCTTGGACCTTGTCTTCAATGTTTTTCTCCAGCAAAACGTTCTTCTTCTCAGTTAAACACTTGACCTTCTCCAGTTCATCTTTCAGAGTAACAGTTTCTTCGGCAAATTTCCTGTCAATTTCCTCATTTCTTGTCAAAGTTGAATCTTTTGGTTTAGGAGGTGGGTTTTGTCGCTTGGAGCCTTGGTATTTTTGTTTAGATTTCTTTTTGGCCATTCTTGGGAGTATGTGAGATGGATGTGAATCTTGAAAGGTGGGGTTTTTTATGGTGGAGAAATGATCAGATGTGGAGACAGAATGATGAAGGAAGGAGGGAGTTCTTGAAAAGGATTGAAATATGGGGACCCAAGATGAAGTACGAGGCTTTTATGGTGGAATGGTGTGGCTATATATATATATATATATGAATTCGGTAGCTTTTTCTTGGCAATTTTTAGTTTTTAAGTATATAAAGATTACGTATCTTGTTTAATGATCAAGTTTTTAAGTTCTATACTTATGATTTCCATTTTAACATATTATTATTTACCAAATTTTAGTAATTAAAAATTAATATAAAATTATCATCAAAATAATAATTTATTTGAATACAGTTTGAGTATTTAGTTTAAAGGGAGGTCCACGGTTTTGCCTTAACCAACAGTCGAATTTTATTAAAAAAACATATGGCTTATAGTTTTTGCTACATATTTTTGAAGATCGATGATATGATCGTTAAATGAAAAGCATATATGTATCTACCAAGATTAATCTTTGTTCCGGTTATTATCATATGAAAGACGATGAATTTGACATTTTGTAACTCGTGTTTAGCATTTGTCAGAGACACTTCAGATTTATGGTTATATTACTCAGAAATAACAATAATCAGCTACGTACCTATCAAATGTTTCAACCATGTTTGATCAATTTAGAGATGTATTTTCCGATGATTTCTTATTTGCCCTTCAACCCTGTTTCATCTTTTCTTCTTCTTCTTCTTTTAATAATGGAGTTGGAATTTTTTTTATTAATGGAGTTCGGTTTATGTAGTTGGACTTTGTATAGAATAATGGAGTTGAAACTTTTCTCTCTAAAAGTCAATGGTTCTTCTTCTTTTAAAGTTGTAGTCTATGATCATTGTTTTAAAATTCTTCTCTTTCAAAGTTTGCATGAGATATTAATGGAAGAAAAGTATGTTGATTGCCTCCAAGTCGGTGGTTTCAATTTCTTTATCAAGCACTTGAGGCATTGAGGCAGTGTTCTTCAACAGCGAGGCAATGTTCTTTTTCATCTATCAGCCTATTCACAAACAATCCACGCGTTCACCAATAACTTTTTCTCCATTGAACTCCCCAAGAAAGTCTAGAATCTTCTTCTGCATATTCTTTAGTTCCTTAAGGAGTTTCTTGGAGAAAAAGTTACCGGTGAGGGTGAATTTTGAGCTACAAGAAAAAAGATGACTAATTTGATCGAAGCACAAATTCTTCATACTAAAAGATCAATGGAGAAATGCTTATGTCTAACATGCTATGGAGAAAACATGAGGGTGAAATCTTGTTTGCATGCTGGAGTAGCTACTAAGTTTGGGGGTCCAGCCATACCGGATAAGGCTGCAGCAAAGCAAACCGGAGGAAGAGGAAGAAGAAAGGAAAAGTTGTGGCGATCAGCAAGAAAACATCACTAGAAGCAGTTGAATTGAAATAGCCCAACTTGTTAATGGAAGGGGAGTATTCTTTATTCCTCTTTAGTTATTGTCTTTTGCATTTATTTATTTTCCATGTTCGTCTTTAAGTTTAGGGTGTGTCGTGTGTTTAGTTGCATTTTTAAGTTGCATTTTTAATTAGTTGTGTTTTAATTTATCATCTTCTGTTTTATGTTAAATCATGTCATGCATGATGCATATGTGTAAATAAATGGTTGATTGCTATAACATTCTTCTTCTATTAATGGAGTTGGAATATTTTCACTTATATATTTTTCTTTTTATTAACGGAGTTCGGTTTATGTAGTTGGACATTGTATGGAATAATGGAGTTGGAAGTTTTCTCTCTAAAAATCAATGGTTTTTCCTCGTTTAAAGCTGTAGTCTATGATTATTGTTTTAAAAATTCTTCTCTTTCAAAGTTTGCATGGGACATTACTGGAAGAGAAGTATGTTGATTGCCTCCAAGTCGGTGGTTTCAATTTCCTCTTCAAGCACTTGAGGCATTCAGGCAGTGTTCTTCAACGTTTAGACAGTGTTCTTTTTCATCCATCAGCTTGTTCACAACAATCCACCAATCACCAGTAACTTTATCTCCAAGAAAATCCTGAAGGAAGTCCAGAATCTTCTTCTGCATATCCTTTAGTTCCAGGAGGAATTTCTAGGAGACAAAATTGCCGTTGAAGATGAAAATACTGAGCTACATGAACGAAGATGATTGATTTGATCGAAGCACAAGTTCTTCGTACTAATACATCAATGGACAAAACCTTATGCCTAACAGGAGATGTTGCTACTTCTGATCTTTTGCTCTATATATAACATTCTTTTTGCATGCTTAGATTTATTATGCGCTTAAGGGAGTGGAATTAATTCAAAGGGAGCAGAATCAGCCTGAAGCGATAAATCTTGCTTAGATTTTGTTGCATTTGTAATTATTCATGTTTTACTTTATCATGTTTTGTTATATATGTTAAATCATGTCATGCATATGAGTAAATAAACTAGGTAACTCGAGGATAAGTAACTACAATCGAATGCACACACTTACAAGTAGAAAATCTGCTCTTTGGGTGAAATTCTTGCATTCTGGTTCTGAAGAACATGTATAGGAAGCTTGAACATATTCATGTTTAAAGGAAATTTATGAAAACTGAAGGAAGGCAACTATTGATTCAATTCAGCAATATAGTTAAATGTGTGTTGTGTTTGCATTGTTTTAAGAGAAATGAACTAACTTTGAGGGTGTGATAACTCTTGAAAAAACTCTTGAAAAAGAGTTATTATTCTTGATTTCAGACTAAGAAATGATCATGTATAAAAGAGTTATTGTATCATCTTTCATTGTTATTCAGCAATGTATAGGGTAAGTTGTTTGCTTATAAATGTAGCAGTGATGCATGTATATGTTGTTCAAGGAACCATACCCAGAACTTCAAACAAACACCAGATTTTACACATAGAATCATTTTCATTTCACATTCCACACCATACCCAGAACTTCAAACAAACACCAGATTTTACACATAGAATCATTTTCATTTCACATTCCACAAATAAATATCAAGCTGACAAAAGCGGAAGATAATCCAAAAACATCCCCTGGGGTTACTTCAAAAAGAATATTATTTATTACAGAGAAAAAGATCAGAAGTAGAAACATAGCATGTTAGTCATCAGGTAATTGTCTCCATTGATCTTTTAGTATAAAGAACTTGTTCTCAAAACAAAGTTGCCAATTGATCAAATCTTCCATCTTCGTTTTGCAGCATAGGCAAAGGTTACTGCAGCCATGATAGTTATTGCTGAGGAGACCGATTCCCAGAAACTATTCTTCTTTTGGGATTCCACAATAGTTTCCTCCATAACCACAACTTTCAGCTTCAAGTCATGAGACAATGTCTGTTTATTCTTAAACGCTTGTTTGATTGCCTCCAAGTCGGTTGTAATTGGTTTGATTTCAGCAATAGGAGATTGGTCCTTCTCCTTTCCATCTTTAGATTGACATGACAGTGAAGGCAGGCAGTGTTGTTCAGCAAAGTCAATCTATCTATCAGCGTGTTCACAGCAGTCCACAGATCACCCACATCTTCTAGCTCAGTATTTCCACTCTCACCTGTAACTGATAGGCCAGAAGTGAGCAATATGGTATGAAAGGTTTTAGTCTATTCACTATTACCTTAGTAACAACTTTTGGAATTAGCACGAGAAGAGTTCTATTAACCCTTTCCAGCGAATGAATACACCTAAACACATGCCGAACCAACTTAACTACACAATTCTCCAATTCATCTGGTAGAACATTGCATAAATATCCGAATCCTTTTTCAACTCCATTTCAAGATTGATGAGGAATGGCGAACATGATGATTCAATGGCCTTCTCAATACCACGGATTCTACCTAGCAACAAAACCTTACACTTTCCAATATGACTAAAAAACTCAAGATTCTAAAGTTTGGCTTTAGTCATGAAGTTCTCAACGTCTACATCCTTCTTACAAACCCGATTAAGGAAATCAATGAACTGGGGGTGGTCTTGCCATACCTGATGATGATGGTTGGCCTCATTGGATTCTGGTTGATACCGACTTTGACACAATTCGATTGGCAGGTGAAGTAAACACAGGGTCTTAGAACCTTTCTCCCACGTCGTCCAACACTCCAAAATACGACCGTCGCCCAACACTCCAAAATACGACCGTCGCCCCATATGTGATTACATTAAAAGCATTATTATCTTTTAGCTCAAATCAAGAGAGGGAGAGGCGCAGCTTTAGTTTTAAGCAATATAATATATATTTGATCATTGTTTATCAATAAAGATGTTAAAAAAAATTATGTGGCAAGGAATGTCAATTGTAACTGTGGCCTTAGAAAAGCTTTCCTTTACTATTACAAAAATTACAAATATGAAGCACTGACATATAGGAACATCCCCTGAGGTTACTTCAAAAAGAATATTATTTATTACAGACCAAAAGATTATAAGTAGCAAAATAGCATGTTAGTCATCAGGTAATTGTCTACATTGATGTTTTCGTATGAAGAACTTGTGCTCAAAACAAAGTTACCAATTGATCAAATCCTCCATCTTCGTTTTGCAGCATAGGCAAAGGTTACTGCAGCCATGATAGTTGTTGCCAAGGAGACCGATTTCCAGAAACTATTCTTCTTTTGGGATTCCACAATAGTTTTCTCCATAGCCTCAGCTTTCAGCTTCAAACCTTGAGTCACTGTCTCTTCATTCTCAAATGCTTGTTGGATTTTCTTGTTCCTCGCCTCCAAAAGGGAAATCTGCAACCTATCTATCAGCCTGTTCACAACAATCCACAGAACACTCACATCTTGTTTCTCAGAATTTTCACTTTCTCCAGTACCTTTATCTCCAAGAAACTCCTCAAGAAAGTTCAGAATCTTCTTCTTCATATCCTTTAGTTCCTTCTTGTTCATTTCCATCACTATTCTAGCTGATTCCCTTTCCTCCAATAACTTGACCATTTCTTCAGCAAGTTTCCTCTCATTTTCCTCAATTACCGTTATCATCTCTTTCCTCAAACTATTTTCCTTTTGGGATTCATCAATATTTTCCTCCATAACCTCAACTTTCTGCTTCAAATCTTGAATCAATGTATGTTTTTTCTTGAATGCTTGTTTGAGTGCCTCCAATTCGGTTGAAATTGGTTCGGTTTCTTCTTCAGGCTTCTTTTCGGCAATAGGAGATTGGCATAACAGTGAGGCAGTGTTGCTCAGCAATGCCAATACCTTCCCGTGACTAATGGTGGTTGATTCCATTTTAGCTCTCAAATCATTAAAACTACCCTTCTCCTCCAAAAGGGAATTATGCAACCTATCTATCAGCATGTTCACAGCAGTCCATAGATCACTCACATCTTCTTGTAGATCAGAATTTTCATTTTCACCGGTAACTTTTTCTGCAAGAATGTCCAGAATCTTCTTATGCATATCCTTTAGTTCCTTCTTATTCGTTTCAATCTTGCTTCTCAAAGTCCCAACATCTTGGACCATATCTTCAATGTTTTTCTCCAGCAAGTCGTTCTTCTTCTCAGTTAAACATTTGACCTTCTCCGGTTCATCTTTCAGAGTAACAGTTTCTTCAGCAAATTTCCTCTCGGTTTCCTCATTTCTTGTCAAAGTTGAAACTTTTGGTTTTGGAGGTGGGTTTTGTTGGTTGGAGCCTTGGTATTTTTGTTTAGATTTCTTTTTGGCCATTCTTGGTACTATGGGAGATGGATGTGAATCTTCAAAGGTTGGGTTTTTTTTTTTATGGTGGAGAAGTGATCAGATGTGGAGACAGACTGATAAAGGAAGGAGGGAGTTCTTGAAAAGGATTGAAATCTGGGGACCCAAGATGAAATACGAGGTTTTTATGGTGGAATGGTGTGACTATACATTATATATATATTAACCGAAAATATTAAATATTATATATATTAAATATATATTTTAACCTCAAATCTATTAAGAATTAAGACCAAATTATTTTTTAACTAAACTAGACCCATTAATACCTAATTAAATTTTCACTCAATAAAAAAATACATCCATTAAACTCAAATAAATCTAACTAAAAAATTTAAAAATTTATTTAAAAATTTTGGTTGGTTCGATTACCGGCCAAATTAACCAAACTTTGCTTGGTTCGGTTATTCGATTCGGTGGTGACCGAATTAACCAAATGAGCAACCTTGTAAGTAACTATAATCGAATGATAATAAATAACAAGTACATACTTTTGAGATCGACGATACGATAAATAAATGAAAAGTACATATGTATACCAAGATGAATCTTTGTTACGATTATTATCAAATGACAGATGGTGAGTTTGATGTTTCGAAACTTGTGTTTAGTATTTGTTGGAGACACTTCAAATTCTTGGTTATATCAGTCAGACATAATAATATTCAGGTACCTATCTGATGTTTCAGCCCTATTTATCAATTTATAGATGCATTTATCGATAATACTCTTATCTGTCCTCATATTGATAGAAACCTCGATAAACAACATAGAATAGTATTTCAAACCCTTTGAGAGAAATATTTTCATGTCAAACTTAGCAAATATGAATTCTGGCTTTCCAAGGTATCATTGATGAGGCATATTATTTCTTTCTATTAGCATCTATGTTGATCGGAATAAAATTCAAGTTATTCAGTTGTTTCAAAAAACAATAGAAAAATTTTGACCATCCTAACTTCAGTTTGATTAATGCTTCGATCTTCACTCAACCCAAATCGTGATATGACTAACATCAAACTAAAATGATTAATGCTGCAGTAACCTTTGCCTATGCTGCAAAACCAAGATGATTGATATGATCGATTGCTTAACTTTGTTTTGAGCACAAGTTCTTCGTACAAAAAGATCAATGGAGAAAACCTTATGACTAACATGCTATGTTGCTACTTTTGATCTTTTGGTCTCTAAATAAATAATATATTCTTTTTGAAGTAACCTCAGGGGATGTTCCTATAAGTCAGTGCTTCATATTTTTGGATTATGTTGGGCTTTGTCAGCTTGATTTTTGTTTGTGGAAAGTGAAATGAAAATGAAGATTGGGTCAGGTGGACAAAATTGATTCCATATCTAATGAACAGATTGTAGCTGAAGTTACTGTTTTTTAACATCTGATAGTTGTTTGAAGTACTAGGTATTAGCTGACTAGATATGCTTTCTAGTACATGTACATGCATCATAAGCAAACAACTAACCATACAATTACCAATCATTACGCATCACCTGGGACATTACAGCAATCTCCTGTTGAACTGTTGCTTAAGGTTTAAAGACCATTTATGTTCATCCCAATCTTTCAAGGTTCATGAACTTGTGTTCCTTGTACATCTGTTTCGCATATCAAACTTATATATATACCCAATAAGAAAGATGATACCCTCGTTAACTCATCGGCACTCACGGCTACTTTAAGGGAACTTAAAACCAGTTAACCATGGCATTAGTTTCAAGATCAAAGCCCTGTAACCCTCTTCAAAGGTCATCATAAAGGGATAATTCTGTAATAATATTTGACTGGACACCAATCTTTTCATTGTTGTTTTCAGATTCAAGACCTTTATCACCATAAATCTCTCAAAGGAAATGGTTTGGGAGTTGGGATGGGAAATCATTGTCCCAAAGATTAGACATTTTTATATTCTGATACATGGTATCATCCAGGTTGGAAAAAAGGGATTGACTTTATAAAGGTAGAGATGAAAAACTCCATTAATGATCAAGTTGGAAATTTTATCAACACAAGTTTTTTCACATGCATATTAATTGGTCCATAAAATTCAATTAAACAAGGCCTTGATGATGTCTTTATCAAAAGGATTAGCTGTTTTTTTCATGTTGTGGAAATATTCTTCAAGCACCATGAAAGCAAATCCCAACAGCTTACAACAAAGGATGTGAATGCCTTCTCAAAGTGGTCCCCCTTGTAATGCATCCAAATAGCAACCACCAATATACATACGTATATGTGCTTTGATTGCCTTTGTCAAACAAGCCAATTTCTTCATTTACAAACATCCAACAAATGACAAGAATGCATCAAATAAATCCCCATCTCAACCCATGGGACTATAGAATTTGCTTCCAATCATTTTATCAGTGTGTCTGGTTGGATTTGATGGAGGGAATGGGAGCACGTTTTGATTCCTCGTTCAGTCGCCTCCGAAATTATCTTCCGAGGATCGAACATTGGCAGATTTTGCCTATTTAGATGTTCATGGTAATCAAATCATCAATCACGCAACAAGCAAACACGAGTTCATCTCATCAGTGTCATGGAATCTGTGTAGAGTTTAATAGTTTTGAAGCATAACCCAGAACTTCATAAGCCAAAAAGGAAAATATTTAAAAACAGTGGGGGTAACCCTGATTTAAGCAAACATTTTTTATATACTTATAAAACATTATATGTATAGACATACAGGGTCAGAACATCATGGAACCTTTTTAATCCATGTTCTAAAATTAGCATATATAGCAATAACTGGGCACCGATCCCTTGTTCTGGTACCGAATGTTATCCATATACTATCCCTGTCTTCTCCTTCGGGGCAAGACGTCGGAATTCATAACTCGTAAACCTAGTGGTGTGGCAAACGTAGTCAAAAGGATCTAATTGCCGTGAGCTTCACCGAAATGCAGACCGGAACAATTAGCAGTCCAGCTACATGCTGAAATACCTCTTCTTCACCATATAAGGAAAAGCCAGACCAATAACACCATGATTAATATGATAGTGATCAGTAGTACCATATAATCATAAACGACAAACTTTCTCGATGGCCAAAAGTGGAATGTCAAGCTCCTGTCATTCATATATTGCTGCCTGAAGGTAAAGTTATTCCATTAACAGTCGGAACTTACGAATTTGCTTATCTCATCCATAACAACATGGAAGTGATCATTATTCGGCAACAAGTAGAAACCGATTGTAGCCTGTTCCAGGTACAGAAGTTTAACCTCTTGGCCAGCCTTTTTGAGCCCTTCGACATAAGCCAATTGCCAATCCTGAATAAGATCCAAGCCAGCAACCACAACGAGACTTTTCGGAAATTTGATTCCTTCAAGACTTCTACCATTAGGACCAAAGGGATTACATGCAGGATGGTCCCGGTCTGTGCCTTCGGGGAGGAAAGCTCTCCAATACCAATCCCTGTCTCGTAGGGTAACAAAGTATTTCCCATCTAAACGCTTTTCAGATTCAGTTCTTTCTTGTCCACCAAACATCGGATTGAGCAATATATTTCCCAATACATCGATTCCCGATTCAACGGCTCGCAGAGCAACATGGTGCACAATGTTACCACCGGAGCTATCCCCGGCAAGATATATATGAACCTTCGAATCTTTCCGACTTTTAAGCCATGATCTAGAGTTAACCCATTTAAGAGCAGTCCATCCATCATCATAAGCACATGGATATCTATTCTCAGGAGCTCGCCGATAATTCACCGAGACCACAACGGCCTTACAGTTACCAACCAATATCCGACACAGATGGTCATATATAGCACTATTCGCCGAGGAATGCGCAAAGCTTCCACCGTGAAAGAAAATTATAACCGGAACAACATCTGCTGTAACAGGCTTCTCAAGATCAACAATATTCAGCTGAGGCTCTTCACCAGTAGCCGGTCTATAAACCCGACTCAGAAGGCCGGTACCACGATCGATGAGGAAATCGAATGAGAAAACCCCACCAACTGGATTCGCATTAGCAGGGACTCTCCGATCAAGGAACTCCGCCAAGTGACGATTGAAAGTGCCGTCCGGTCGACGAAGAATATTGTAAGCCAACTTAAAATTGGAGATGAGGACCCATGTATTCAGTGGAACCACCATCTATTAAGAGACAAAGGTAAAGAAGATAAAACAAGGGCTTCATCTTCCAAGAAATCAAATCTAAAACAAAGGAAATTGATATTCGCATAGACAAAGTCATCAAGTAAATAGAACCCTAGTTGTAACCCACCTTGCCAAGAAACATCAATTTCAGTACTAATTTTCAAAAAAAAAATACTCAACTAAAATAAAAATAAAAAATCCAACTTTCTTGGAGAAATAGAAACAATGGTCAAAAGTCAAACGAAGCTGTTTACCCCAAAATAGCAAAAGATTCAAAATCCCATTTTTTTTAACCAAAAAAATAAAGTAAAATATATGAAAATTCCATTAAAAATCTCAACTTGACAACCTAAATCTATAAAGAAATTATGCAGAATAATAGAATGGAGAAGAAAGACGAAAGAAATTTTACCTTGCAGTCATTGAGGTTGATTTCATTACTTGCAGCCATTTCCCCTTTCTTTGAAGACTTAAAAGCAAAACGCAGAAGCTTAAAACAGAATCTTTTGAAGAACAACCCAAGCTCACAACAGCTCATATCACAAAACAAAACCAGAAAACAATCCACCAAAGATTTTAATCTAATCTTGTTTTTCAACTTCAAAGATCCCTCTTTGTTCTTCCGATACTGTTGAACTTGTACTTTCAAGAGAGTAAAAAGGAAAGGAAATACATTTTTGCTTGCTTGAAAATATGTTGGAAAGAGAGACGCAATTGGGACAGAGAGAGGAGGGGTTATTATATGAGTGTCATGTGGAGTGGGTGAACGATAGGAAAGGTGCGCAGATAAGAAGACAAAGGTGAAAAAAGAGAGATGCTAAAAAATTGTACTTTAGGAGATGAATGTG